CACACACACACACACACACACACACACACACACACACACACAAATATATCATAGAAACAGACTTATCTGATTTAGTTAGTTCACTGTGGGTCATCAAAACTACCAGTAAATAATCTAGTCAACACATGCTTTGGTCTGACCTAAAACCCGCACATCTGACCCCTATGAAAAAAGAATCAACATATACTTCTAATGGCATATGAGGATATTATGTGATATTTACTAGTTTTACAGCATTTCCATGCAGGTAGCATTGTGAACATTTCATTTTAATTAACATTCATGTGTTCTACACACTACATACTTTTCTTCCATCCTTTAAGGATACTGTTACAAGACGTCATAGTTTTTCAGAACAGTTAAGAGGCTGTTTTTCTGTCAAAACCATTCCCTAGGTTTCAGTTCATGGTGAAGTTGGATTATTGAGAAGTAACTGGTCCTTTTTGAACAGATGCAGGCCCCCAGACCTTCTCTGTGCTGATTGGAAACCGTGAATGGATGAGGCGCAACGGCCTGACCATCTCCAGTGATGTCAGTGATGCCATGACAGATCACGAGATGAAAGGACAGACGGCCATCCTGGTGGCTATTGATGGTAATCCCTGTCTGAGCTGCAAGAACACAGTCAGGCCTCCCTGCTCCATAAAGAGGCCTACTGGGCTCCCTCCCACTTCCCTTCTCCCTTCCCTCTGTTCTTTTCCTTTCCTCCTCCATCTTTCCTTCTTTCCCTTCCTTTTTGCTTATAATTTTCTCTCTTCTTTTTTTTTTTTAAAGCCTCCTTTCTGTTAATTTTAGGTCACTTTTCCAGAAAGTTGTCTTGCTGTCTTTTCGCTTGATCCCCTCTCCTGAGGTCCTTCTTTGTCACCATCTCCATCTTGACTCAAAGCCAGCTCTGCTTCTAGTTCTAAGCTGTTTTCTGTCATCTTGTTTCTAAGGTGGGAGTTCTAGGTCATCTCTCTCACTCATCACTACAGACAAAACAGAATCCACTTCCCCAGAGGCCTGACTGTAGGATGCCTTTAAGTTAGGAGGCCCCTGCAGCTTTTCACTGTCTGGCTTAAAGGTTGGCTCAGTTTCTCATGACTTCTGGAGTCCTCGCACACAGAGAGCACCTGGCTGTAGGCCTCAGACCTTGGAACCTTTGCTTTGTCCATGTCAGTGTTTGTTAATAGAAGTGAAACTGCATGCCAGTAAGCAGTAGTTTGCACACTATATTCTGAATGCCCTACCCAAGTCTGCCTTGCTGTCCCACCCCGTTCTCCCACAGGTCCTTATAAACCTTGCTCCCTGCAGCTCCTCCAGGCAGAATCAGTACAAATAAAGGGTCCATGTTGTTGCACACCTCTCACTGGTTTTCACACTTCAGCCTAAATGCTCCTTCTGTGACTGAAGATTCAGAGGAGAAAAGGTTTTTTGTTTTTTTTTTTTTGTTGTTGTTGTTGTTATCTTTTGTGGGGGTTTTGGTCTTTTTGAAACAGGGTCACCCTGTAGCCCCAGCTGACCTGGAACTTGCTGTGTAGACCAGGCTGGCCTTGATCTCTCAGAGATCCACCTGCCTCTGCCTCCTGAATGCTGGGATTAAAGGTGTGCACCACCACGCCTGTTGGAAAAAAAGTTTTTTTTGTACAAATATATTTTCCGTAAACGATAAAAAGAAAGGCCTGCATTTCTACTTAGGATGCCTGTCACTTCTAGCAGCACTTGTGTTTTTTTAATTTTATTTTATATATCACGTATTTGTTTTTATTCTGCAAGGGGAGCTTTGCAAACTAATGCATGCATCTTGTGGAAATTTCAGAAAATCCACAGGCTGTGTATAACATGAAATTGTTCATACCTCCACCCCTTCAGGAACACTGTGCACCTTTTGCTATTCTGTAAATGTATGTGATTTAAAAAGCAAAAAACCAAAAACCCAGACCACATTATGTCACACACTTTGGAGCTTTGTTTCCTGTGTATAATGCTATATAATGAGAGCCATCACAAGCCCCAGCATCTCGCTTTGAGGCTGCTGGGTCTGCGCTATTGCTGACTGGATGGTTTGCTCCAGGTGTGCTCTGTGGGATGATCGCCATCGCAGATGCTGTCAAACCAGAAGCTGCCCTGGCTGTCCATACGCTGAAAAACATGGGTGTGAATGTGGTTCTGATCACAGGGGACAACCGGAAGACAGCCAGAGCCATTGCCACTCAGGTATGACGGTGGCCAGAGATCACTTTGTCCTTGAAAATACAAGCTGTGTTAAGCGCATAGAAAGGAGGAAGAAAATAAGCAGCAGCGCATCTGTGCCAGCTTCACTCCCGCTCCTTCCCCACTGTGCCCTGGAAGTCCAGAGTTCCCTGAGCATTTCCTAAAAAGATCATGGCTAGAGGGCTAAAAAGTCATGTAAAGGTCAGGTGTAGCCCAGCCCTTGGGAGGTAGAGGCAGGCAGATCTCTGAATTCAAGACCAGCCTGCATGGCAAGTTCTAGGCTTCATAGTGAGACCCTGACCCAAAACAAAGTCATCTAAGCTTTGTATTATGGGAAAGTTTTGCTGGTCCAGCTTGCTTATGGGCTAACCCCTGCATACCCTACTCCACCCAGCCAAGCATATACAAAGCTGTGAAAGCTAATCACTGTTTATGATTGACCTCTGTTGGCCCTGGCCTTCATTGCTCCTGAGGGACTAGCTGAGTCTCTTGCTCCCTTTTCTGGTTAAAACTTCTTCGTCCATTCATCAGAGACTTAGCAAACACTGTGAAAGACAGGCATAGTACAGGCACTGAATCTACATATAGTGAGGAATAAAGAGGGGCCCTACCTTTAAGGGGCTCATGGTCCTGAAGGGAGGGTGGATCAGTGACCCCGTGTGGATCTGAGTGCATGGGGCTCCTGCACAAGCATGGGAGGGGATGCTGAGGCAGGAGTAAGGCAGAGGGGTGGAGCTGGAACACTGCACTTGCCCTATAGTCTCAAGACTTGGTTGATCAATATGACTAACAGGACCTGAGAGCTGAGGGCAGGTGCATGGGGGTAACGTGTGGGTGTCTGCTGCTGCTTAATACTTTTCACCCACATTGGGCATGGATTTCCTTTTCAGGTTGGCATCAACAAAGTCTTTGCTGAAGTCCTGCCTTCCCACAAGGTGGCCAAAGTTCAGGAGATCCAGAACCAAGGGAAGAAAGTTGCCATGGTGGGAGATGGGGTGAACGACTCCCCGGCCTTGGCCCAGGCTGACGTGGGCATTGCTATCGGGACTGGCACGGATGTTGCCATCGAGGCAGCAGATGTCGTCCTTATCAGAGTGAGCTCCTCTGTATCCAGGTCACAGGAGGGGACGGGGTTGGCACAGGCCCATTACTCAGTGTACTCCTCTCCTACAGAACGACTTACTGGATGTGGTGGCCAGCATTCACCTCTCTAAAAGGACCGTCCGGAGGATCCGGGTTAATTTGGTGCTGGCACTGATCTATAATATGGTTGGCATACCCATCGCCGCAGGTAGGTAGGGTGGCTCTCACCTGCTGTGTCACCTTTGGCTTCTTGCTGCTGGGTCCCTGATGAACAAGTGAGTCACCCACCTCTCAGACTGGCTGGCCAGGCACAGTGTGGGAAGTCTTGGGAGGACCTCATGGCCTTATTCACTTTTGTCCTCTATAACAGCTGATCAGGATACTTGGGCATTCATTTAGGGTGGCCCTATTTTCTGACACTTTACTAAGACATATGGTCTGAAGAATAAGCATTATGGAGTGTTATGGGATGCCTGCTCTGGCCAGATACAGTGACTGTTGTCTCAGAGCCTGTCTTAAAGTTGAATCCTGCCCAGGCTTTACTCAGAGTCCCCCAAATGACCCCGAAGAGAAGTGGTTTTTCTTCTTTGGAATTATCTTCTCCCCCCATACTTCCGATTTTGTGGAACGGAGTGAGCAAATATTATAGACTCTTGCAAGGTAGTGCTCCTATTTGGGCTGAAAGGACCTGAAGGATTTCTGTTTTAAATTTTTTATTACATTAAAAAATTCATTTGTGGTGTGTGTGTGTGTGTGTGTGTGTGTGTGTGTGTGTGTGTGTAGTTGTGGAGGAGGTCAGAGGACATCCAGCAAGGGTCTCTTCTCTCCTCCAACCATGTGGGTCCCAGGGATCCAACTTGGGTTGTAGGCTTGGTGGCAAGTGCCTTTACCCACTGACCACCTTGATGGTTCCTGAGCTGAAGTCTTAAACACAGTTTCCTGTCTCAGTTTCCCTGTTGTATCCAAGTACTTAGTGATGACTTCCCTAGCAGGATGATCAAATCTGCTTCGGCCTCCCAGGCTTGAGAGTGTCTTCCTGTCCCCAGAACCAGTGCAGAAGTTTCATTCTTTCCTGTGTCTGTGCCTCTGCCACAGACAGTGACTGTACCTGGCCTGAGTCTCCTGGATATGTCTGGTACTTGACTTTTGGCTGTGGAGGCCAGATCATCTGTGTAGACAAGCACTGTGGCCATCAGCAGCGTTTATCCCCTGTGGAACTAGGCTCCAGGACACTGGCTTCTGTAACTCTTGTTTCCTGTCTCTCTGCCATGTCTCCTCCCTGTGGCTCCCAGCCCCTGAGTTGGGTAGTGTTAGTTACCTGTACACAGTAATCAGGACAGGCAAAAAAGACCCAGGCCCTTCACAACACCTGCTGCCAGCTTTCTAAGATGGCCTCCCTCAGAAGCTGGTGGGCATAGTGCCTTCCAAGTGCAAGGAGGGAACTCCAGGAGGTGGTTGAGCATTTCCAGCCATCAAGTGATACTTGCCCTCCCCTCGGCAGGTGTCTTCATGCCCATTGGCATCGTGTTGCAGCCATGGATGGGCTCAGCGGCCATGGCAGCCTCCTCTGTGTCTGTGGTGCTCTCCTCTCTGCAGCTCAAGTGGTGAGTCCTGGGCCAGAAGCACCTGCTAGAGCCTCTGCAGGCTCCACTGTGGGGCATAGAACATGGGGGCTCACAACAGCTGAGACATACTAGTGTGCTTCCTAGCTCTTGTTCCCCATTCTTTTTTTAATTTTATTTATTTTTATTTTATGTGTATGAGTGTCATGACTGCATGTGTGTAAATGCACCCGTGTTGTGCAGTGCTGGCAGAGGATATAAGAGGGTGTCAGATCCCCTGGAACTTTAGTTACAGACAATTGTTAGCCACCATGTGGGTACTAGGATTCGAACCTGGGTCCTCTGCAAGAGCTGCCAGTGTTCTTAACCACTGAGCAATCTTTCCAGCTCCTTGTTCCCCATCCTTTATCTGAAGGCAACACAAAGGGCCCAAGTGGGTTTCTGTAGTGATTTGTCACCATCATGGGCAAGTAACTGACCACTTACTGGTTGTCATGAGCTGGGCCTTTCTCTTATGCCCAGGAGCTATTTATATGAATACATTAAACATAGGATCCTTGTATGTTACCATTTTTCCTCCTTAACGAAGAAGCTCATGGACTGGTAAAATGCCTGTCTAGTGTGTGCAACATCCTGGAATCTGTTCTGGACACTGCAAAAAAATCGACTTATTTATGCATGCATTTACTTCACAAAAGTGAACAAGCCTACTATGTGGTATTTGGAAGTTCTAGATCGGGTGAACTTTACTTGACCAAGGGAGTTCAGTGTCCTTTTTCCTCAAAATCCATGAGGTTTTCTGATTGTGTTATCAAAACATGGGAATGAAAGGTCTAAACCAGAGAGAAAGCCTTATGTCCCGAGTGGCTCAGGAACTCTTGGATTCTTGCTTTCCAGCTATAGGAAGCCTGACCTGGAGAGGTATGAGGCACAGGCCCATGGCCGCATGAAGCCCCTGAGTGCATCCCAGGTCAGTGTGCATGTTGGTATGGATGATCGACGACAGGATTCTCCCAGGGCCACACTGTGGGACCAGGTCAGCTACATCAGCCAGGTGTCTCTGTCTTCCCTGACATCTGAAAGACTGTCTCGGCACGGTGGCACAGCAGACGACAATGGAGACAAATGGTCCCTCCTTCTGAGTGACAGGGATGAGGAGCAGTGCATCTGAAAGCTGCAACCAGGGCAGCCAAGGCAGCTCCTCCTGGATGAGCTTGCAGTCTACCTGCTAGGGTGGAGCCGGCAGGAGCAGCCCCAGCAGGCAGTAGTGGGGCAAATGACACTCATTATGGCCTTGGGCCTCCTGCTCCCTGGACAGCCTACAAATCTTCCCTGCAGCATGTGGCCATCCCTGGTATATCTGCAGAAGGCGCTGATGCAGACGAAACTCTCTGCTGGCCCTGTGGTCTGTGTTGGCAAGGTTGGATTCTAGTACAGGAGAGGAAGCCAGCATTCCTCTCAGAACCCTGCCTGTCAGGTTCGGATGACAACATCCAAAACAAGGAACAAGCTTGCCAGGCCCCAAACCCTAACTGAACCACTCTGTAGAGCTCCAAACAGCTCTCCCAACACAGAGTCCTGAAGCTTGGAATGAGGCGGCACACACTGGCCTGAGGGCACATTTTACCTCAAATGCACCTGCTGTTTCTGCTGGCGCAGTCTCTTCCTTTTCTCCCCTCTGCACTTGGTGTTCTTGAAGCTGGAGATGTGCCTCCCCCTAACTTCTGAGGGCAGGACTCCCACCCTTAGGCCAGATGTTCTGGCTCTCAGGTGTCTATCCAAAGGCTGTTCCCTGGCGTGCACTCCAACCCAAGAGCTGCAGCTGCTCTTCACACTGAGGAGAGAGTTCTTTCTTGCTAAGACTTACAGATGCTACTTCTGCTGACTAGCTAGATGGGCAGCTCAGAGCCTGACCAGAGTCCATTTTCCTGTGAGGGTCCAGGTCCTCGCCACCCAAGCTACCTGTGTGTCCCTGCTGTGGCCTGTGGTGCTTGAAGCAGGTGTCCCTTGGGGGATGTATGCATACAGGAATCTCCTTGTTACTTCACAGGGCCCAGTGGGGTTTGTCACAAGTGCCTGGTGTGTGTGTGCCTGGGGGGATCTCTCTCATCGGAGAGGGAAGTTCTGAGAGCTGTCTGCCAGCTGAGGGGCACCCAGCTCCCCAGGGGAAGTGCTTTTACCATCAGTGGCTGTGATTGAGTGGCATCAGAGGACAGGGACAGGCCCAGCTTAACCCTGAAGTGGGCAGGTGACTGAATCACCTGGAACAGACCAGCAGACTCAGATCACTCTCAGGTGAATCCTGGTTGTGATACAAAGTATTTTAGTTACTTATTGAATGTCACTTGTTGCCAGGGGCAGCATTAGTACTTTTTGAAGGTTACTTACCTCTTCCCCCAACAAAGCAAAGTAGCTATTGCCTTGTTTTACAAACAAGGAAACTGGCTCAGAGGGGCTTAGTGTCTTGCTAGGAACTCAACAGTGGATATGCCAGTCCTGCTGGCTCCGAAGGCTTTTTCTACCTCCACTGCTGCCTTAAATATCAGTTTACTTTTTGACCAGAGTAAACTGCACAAAGTCCTTGCTCCTGGAAGAGCAAATATGCAGGTATGTGTTAGTTGTATCAACTTAGAATGCAGTTGGTCAGGAGGTCGGCTTACCTTCATTTGAAATGACTGGTTTCAGTTTTGCATATTAGTAGTTTTTGCTGAGTTTGAGTCTCTAAAATCCAAGTGCAGAGTTCTCTGTAGTACTTTCATTGTTTTCCGTCTCCCCTTCAGCAGCCTCTTCCCATTACCCCTGCCCATTCTCTCCTGTTGCTGTTGTTTAGGAATATTTCTTAGTTTGGAGCTGAGCTAATCATTTTCTAAAGAATCTAATTTTATTGATTTTTAAACCTTCTAAAACCACAAGTATCACATTCACATTTACACTAAAAATTTTACATAATTATACAGATAAGTAACTTCACAGGTGTTCAAAGAGTCGGGAATTATTTTAGCCAGCTAACAGTTTCCACTTTGGAAATTTTCCATACAGTATGAAAATAAAGTTGCATCTTATTTATCCAAAAGTTGTCTGTGGTTGGCTCTGTCTGCATGGGCAGCACCTGCTGCCTGACCACTGAGGACTTCTTTGGAGGGACAAAGAAATATGGGGTTTTAGCAGTAGGGACATGAAGTGGCTGGAGCTGTTTTCCCCTGTCTTGGTTTGAGCTTTTCTCCTGAAGTCTGCAGGCTGCTGTCTCAGTGGTGTGTGGGGATCATGAGAGGTCCCTGTTGAAGTTATTGCCCCATTAGGCTGACACAGACTTTGATCTCCCCCCACATACTCTGCATCGCCAGCCTTATCTCCAAAGGGCTATTCTCTAACACACACACACACACACACACACACACACACGCACGCACACACACACACACACACACACACACACACACACACAGACGGCAATCAGGAAGGATGTGCTTTGGGTTCCTCACCCTGAAGGAGTGAGGTGGAAGCCAGTGGAGAAACCAAGACCAGGGAGTTCTGCTAGGAAAGCTCTGTGGGTATCTTAGGGTGGCCAGGGTCCCTAAGTGAGCTACCCTTAAAGAAGGCTGATCCTCTCTGTCATCCAACAAGGACACAATTAAGAGTGGAAGGACACACTAACCAGAGCCTTGCTGATGACATAATCCTTTACCACATTTCAAGGTCTTCCCTTTGAATATCAACATTCCAATACCAGTATTCCTGAAGTGATTATCCCCTGGCTCCACATGACTGCATAACAAGGCAGTCAGCCCTGGGTACTCCCCACATGCTGGTGCATTGATTGGTTTTCAGCACAGCCTGGAAAACTTCATAATTCAGGTATGGAGGTCTATGCTGCTTGCACAGTTGTCCCATTGAGGAAACAGCATTGGTGCCATTATAGGGAGGATCTGAGTTTCCCTAACAGGGTTCCTCGGGCACCAGGCTGAATCCTAGCACCTGCCCATTCCTGATAAAGTTGCAGTTTTAGAGAAATGTGGTGGGTCTGCCTTTATAATACATGAATGATAAGGTGCTGTTTTGGGTTTTTTTTTTTTTTAACTCTTTTTTAAACTGAATTTTTGTAAATTTCATACAATATATTTTGATTGTATTTTGATCCCCTCCCCTGTCTATACCCTCTTACTACCCAGTTTCATGTACTTTGATAGATAGATGATAGATAGACAGACAGATAGATATATTAGATAGATATAGACAGACAGATAGAAGATGGATGGATGGATGGACAGATGGATGAGATGGATGGACAGACACATAGGCAGATGAAGAGACAGACAGACATACAGCTAATTAGATAGATAGATGATAGATTAGATAGATAGATAGATAGATAGATAGATTATAGATTAGATAGATGATAGATGATAGATAGATAGATGATAGGTAGGGATTAGATTAGATTAGATTAGATTAGATTAGATTAGATTAGATTATAGATAGATAGATTAGATTAGATTAGATTAGATTAGATTAGATTAGATTAGATTAGATTAGATAGGTAGGTAGATAAGTAGATAGGTAGATAGATAGATAGATAGATAGATAGATAGATAGATAGATAGATAGATAGGCAGGCCTATGGAGTCAAATTTGTGTCCCCAAATGCTCTTTGGTATGGATTCCTCCACTGGAGCCTGGTCAACCTACTAAGAGTCTCACCCTTAAATGAGACTGACTCTCCCCCTCCCGTCAGCAAATAGTTACCAAGTTCTTGAGGTAGGACTGGGGTTTCTTACCCACTTCCCACATCTGTGCTGGGATTCTGTCTGGCTTGAGCTTGGGTAAGAATTGTTCATGCTGTCACCATTGCTGTGAGTTAGCTGACCAGCTGTCTGGAAAATTGTTTCCTTGTGGTTGCCTCTAACTCTTACGTGATTTTTTTTAATGGCATCTAGAAAATGATATACCAAAAGGTCAATCTCTAAGTTAGTGCTTCTATTAATTTACTAAGGAACCCAGATTAATAAAGGTGACTTTCACTTTAAGAAAATCCAGGGCAGACTAAACTCAGCCAATCATAGAATTTAATTAGGAGATGACTTGATTGCAGGATTTGCGGGTGGGGGCGGCGGTTAAAAAGTCCATGTCAGGGGCTGATGTGGTAGTGCAGTGCAGCACTTGCCTAGCGTCCAGAAGGCCTTAAATTCTATTCCCTAGCACTGAAAAAGGAAAAGAAGTCAATATCTCCTTAGATAAATGTACTTAAGCTTCCTGAGTTATAATAGGTTTATTTGCATTTGCATACAACCTTAATTCCATCTTTCCTTGAGCACACACACAGAGACACTCAAGAAGTAGCCTGCTGATTCTCTCTCTTTGCGAGAAAGCTGATTTGGGACTGGGAAGCATTGTGGGTTGGAGAGAAGAAACCGCACTACTTCCTTTTCACACTGGGCTTTGCAAGGCCATAAGCACCATTGTTTGGACTCATTCCTGGGGGAGATGTCTACTTGTCTGCCCTTTTCCTTTGTGTGAAGACAATGACCACAGCTGAAATTACAGGCTAGAATGTGAGAAGGTTAAATAATGTGGAGAAACCCCAGTCTCCTTTATTCTATTCAAAAAAGATGAAGAGAAATGGAAAATCAGCCAAGGACTAAAATGAAAACAAGATGGATGGAAATTTAACATTTTCTCTAAAGTGGAAATGGCAATTCTGTCTTCTTAGCATAAACAAAACGGATTGGCAGCATGTAGCTAGGTGTAGAGCATTTGCCTAGTATTTGCAAAACTCTGGGTTTGAATCCCAGCGGCAACAAAACCATCTAAATCTTACAGCAAACAGTTTAAATGTAGAATATAGAAAGTGAGTGGGAAGGCCACCATGATAACTCACTCTGGCTTCTGAAGGCAAGCTCATGAGTGGGATTTTGTAGAGGAGTGCCTTTTGTCTTTGTAGGTGGACCCCATCAGGATACCAAGGCAGCTTCTTGACCAGCTTTAGCCACTGAGCACAGAGGTGATCCTGGAGCTCGAGGAAGGACCTGCTGTGAGCTGGCACTGGTACTGTCCCCTGGAATGTCAGACAGATACTTTGAGGCTGTGTACCACAATTCTGTCTCATTTTGTGCCTCTGGTCCTCATAATGATCGTAGATGCAGCTGGGTGTTCCAAACCTGTCACTCTGGCCCCCAAAGCCCACAGTTCACCATGCTCCCCTGGAAAGCTCTGTCCTCCCAGTGGCATTGCTGGGCCCTCATGTGTGGTAGAGAGGTGTCTGTCCTTTGGCAGAATAGTGCTATTTATCTAGAGAGCCACCAGATGTCTCTCTGACCAAACAACATCCTGGTCTGCAGCCAGAGCTCAAGGCCTCTTTCTTGTTCTGTTTGTTTTTAAGCCTCTAGAAATTCAAGAAAATATAATGAAACTGTGAGAGGCATGGAAGACTGAGGCTGGAATTCAGCTCTGGTACCTGAGTACCTCTAAGTGTTGACATGGTTAACAGCTTAACAAGCTTTCAAAGCCTCCTCCCCATTTGTAGGGTCTGAGTTTGCATTTGGAAGATGCATTTTATCTATTATCATAGCAACAGAGCTTCATATTATAGACTCTTGAAAATTTAGGTTATTTGGGATAGAGGAGGGTGGGAAACCCAAGGCCTCATATATGTTAGGCTGCACTCTACCCCTGAGCAACAGCCCCAGCCCATGGAGAAATTTTAAGCCTGAAACGCTTTTTTTAAAAAAACAAAACAAAACCTCACAAGTATTTTTGGTGACCCCCCCCAAGTAGGACTTCTTTTTTTTTCTTACTTTTTAAAAAATATTTATTACTTTATGTGTATGTAAGTGCATCCATGTTGTGCAATGCTGGAGGAGGTCAGAAGAAGGCACAGGATCCCCTGGGACTGAAGTTATGGACGGTTATTAGCTGCTATGTGGGTGCTGGGAATCAAACCCAGGTCCTCTGCAAAAGCAGTCAGTGCTCTTAACCATTAAGCCCTTTTATTATTATTTTTTATTATTTTTATTTTATGTGTATGAGTGTTTTGCCTGCATGTAATGGCACCAATGTCATACAATGCCTGTGGAGATCAGAAGAGGGCATTGGATCTCCTGGAACTGGAGTTATGGACAGTTGTTAGCTGCCATGTTGGTGCTCAGAACTGAACCTGGGTCCTCTGCAAGAGCAGCCAGTGATCTTAACCACTGAGAAATCTCTACAGCCCCTCGTTTTTCCTTTAAGACAAGAGTTTTACTGTGTACCTAAGCTGGCTTTGAATTCACTATGTAACCCAGACTGGCGTGGAACTTGCAGCAATCCTCCTGCCTCAGCTTCCCAAGTACAGGTATTACAAGCATGCACTGCCACACCTGGCTCCCAAACTCTGAGTTTTAAAACTCCTGTATGCCTGCCTTGAGTTCCCCCAGGCAGAAATGGTATTAATTTCAGGGTTGGTTCCCTGATCCTCACCAAGACCCCCCAGGGCCACTTGCCCCCAAGGTGGATTTACTTGCTCTGGACCTCTGCCTATCTGTTTTATGAGAACTGCTCTCTTTAGTGTTCTGAGAAACATTCCCTCAGACTATCTTCTTTTGTAAATTTAAAAAAAATATTTATTATTTTTTCAACAGTGCATAGAGTAGGGGTTTATTTACAGAAGAGTTGGGCACCCCAACAGCTGCACTGTAAAGTCTACACTCAAATACAAATCCTGTGACCTCCCAACAGCCTCACAAAATGGAGAGAGAGATGCTTCTTGGTGTTTTCAGCTTATACACCCTTTGCCCCTCCCCCAACATGCAGCTAAGGTCGACTAATTGGTGGGAGGGGAAACTGACTCTCCCATGACTCCTTGATGAGAGTGGGAAGGAGGTGTGACTATAGCTTGCTGGCACAGTGGTCAGAGGACATTTCCAGTTAACACCCTTAACACTGCACCCCTTCCTCAGCCTCTTGCATTCTTTCTGCCAACCTCTTCTGCAGAAGTCCCTGAGCCTTAGAGAAGGTGGTAGGTGTGGGATGACCTTCCTCCTATTGTTGCAAGGCACTAAACTTTCAGGTCTCTGCATCATCTGTTTTCCATGG